AGAAAAATCTTGGGGCCTGCTTTGAGTTTTAATCCAGGGGCAGAGGAGGAACTAGCCCTCAGAATTAGTGTAAAGGCACAGCAAGAGACACACACAAAAGCTGCTCTATAATTAACTCCTAAAATTGTACTTGCTTGAGGTATCATGACATAGATACAGGGAGCTCTGACCTGTGTGTACATCATGGGGCAATTGTCTCTCTTGCTGAGAGTGACAGACTGATCAGAAAGCTTAACAGTGGCTGCTCCTGGGCATGTACTGAACTGAGAAGCCCCGGTCAAGTGTCCCTGAGGCCTTTCTTTGGACCCATTTCCTTTAAAGCATAGCCAGTCTCAAGGCCTTAACCCACTGATGTCAAGTCAATTCCAACTCATGGCGACCCATGTGTGTCAGAGTAGAACTGCTCCATAGAGTTTTCTTGGTTGTAATCTTAGTGGAATCAGATCGCCAGGCCTTTTCTTCCCTAGTATCACCGGGTGGGTTTGAACTGCCTACCTTTAGGTTAGCAGTCAAACACATGCTGTTTTTCCACCTAAAGACCTTCTTGGGAGCCCTGGTGGTGCAGTGATTAAGAACTACAGCTGCTAACCGCAAAGTCAGCAGTTTGAATCCACCAGCCGCTCCTTGGAAACCCTATGGGGCAATTCTACTCTGTCCCATAGGGTCGTTATGAGTCGGAATTGACTCGATGGCAACAGATTTGGTTTTTTGTCCTTGTATTTGGGCCTCTGGATATTCAAAGACGCGCTTGGCAGAGTCCCTGCCTCACTCAGCCCCATCCCTGCCCTGCAACTTGTCTTCTTGAACTCTTTGATAATCATATCCTTTCAGGTAAAAGTAACAAACCACATCTTGTTAAGAAGACATGTGATTGGAATTATTGCTTCTGCTTTTTGCAAAACCATAGAGTAAGAGCCAAGCCACAGGGTTTGGAGGGGAGGGATGAGGTTGAATTTTGTGATCTAGACCTTTTCCCTTGACAGCCAGGCAGGATTTGGGGGAAGAGGGTCCTGGAATAGAATAGGTAACCCCCAGGGAGCTAGAAAGAAAATGGTACTGCCTGGAGACAGGATGAGGATACTTGCACAGTCCTTGTTCCTGGTTTAACTTTAGCTGGGGTCAGAATTTACAAAATGTTTTGAGTCACTGCCATATGCTGACACATGATGTTGACAACCAGGTGCTGGGGCAGCATTCATCATCTATTAATTTATTGGTGGATTGATTGATTGATTGATGGAGAAAATCAACAAACAATTATTGAGCGCCTATTAAGGCACAGGGCAAGACAACTGGAATACAATGGTGAGCAATGTGGAGATCTGTCATGGTAGCTAGACAGTAAAGAAAAAACTGTACAAATAAATGTCAAATTATAAATTGTGATAAGTGATTTGAAGGAAAAGCTCAGGGTGCTCTGAAAGGGAATAATAGGAAAGCCTAAATTGGATTTGGAGGTAGGGAAGGCCTCTCCTAGAAAGTACCATTTAAGCTGAGCTCTGTAGAGTAGATGGGAATGAACTAGGGACAGAGTAGGGAAAACACCCTCCATGAGGAATGTCAGAAAAAACAATTGTGAAAGACTTTGAAGCTCATCAAAAAAGAGAGAAAGAAAGAGGGAAAAAGGGAGGGAGGGAGAAAGAGAGAGAGGGAGACAGGTGGGGAGGGAGGAAGGAAGGAAGTTAGGAAGTTGGAAGGAAGGAAGGAAGTTGGAAGGAAGGAAGGAAAGAAGGAAGGAAGGAAAGATTATTGGGTATCTAAGTAGCCTACCCTTCTGGTTTATCTGATTCTATAGGAAAGTGTGACTTTTATTATCTTTGAGCTATTTTGGGACCCTGTAAGTTATAGAAAACTTATAGCAGTGCAAATAACTTTTGTCTATAAAAATGCAAATATTTTGTTCAATGGGGTACAATGGATTATTGCCTTGTGGATGTTGACTAGTTTTGCATCTATTTACAAATTAATTTCAGTTTTTCTGATTGCCAATTAATGTTGAAGGGCCTCATTTTTTTTTGTTTTTGTTTTTGGGTGGGGTGAGGGTGGATACAATTCAATCCATAATAGGCACTCGGTATGATGTACTTATTATGTGTCTTAACCAACTTTCTTTTGTTTATTTAGATACATGTGTATTGTTGAAAACTAAATAATGCTTCAAGTGTGGGATTTTAACTTACATAGAGATGATGTGTGATAAATCTCAATGTGCTTGTCCCTCCCACCCTTTTTTTCACTCCATACTGCATTTTAGAACTCTATCATGTGGCTAGATATAAATTCATCCATTGATTGTTATTGCTGCCTAGTCCTCCATCACATGCATATACTTTTCCATTCTTCTGATGATTCCTTATAATCTCAAACCATGCTTTGATGACCATCCTGGTACAAATCTCCTCTGAGATATTTGGAAGATTTTCTTGGGGGAATATATTTAGGGATAGTCTTGCTAGGCCATTCAAGTCCAATAGTTTCTAAAATAATTTCAAAAAGTCATCTTTTCTTCATTTTGATAGTTTGATACAAACCTTCTGTCATGGATTGAATTGTGTCCCCCCAAAAATGTGTGTAGCAGCTTGGCTAGGTCATGATTCCCAGTATTGTATGATTGTGTTATCTGATGTGATTTCCTCATGTGTTGTAAACTCTACCACTATGATGAGATTATATGTGATCTCCTCATGTGTTATAAATTCTATCACTGTGATGAGGTTGTACTGATGAGGTTGACAAGATTACTGTCTTAATGTGATCTCTTTTGAGATATAAAAGAAAGGAGCGAGCAGAGACACATGGGAACCTCATACCACCAAGAAAACAGTGCTGGGAACAGAGCGTATCCTTTGGACCTGAGGTTCCTGCACAGAGAAGCTCCAGACCAAAGGAAGACTGATGACATGGACTTTCCTCCAGAGCCAATGGAGAAAGCGTTCCCCTGGAGCTGATGCCCTGAATTTGGACTTGTAGCCTACTGGACTGTGAAGAAATAAACTTCTCTTTGTTAAAGCCATCCACTTGTGGTATTTCTGTTGGAGCAGCACTAGATGACTGAGACACCTTCCCTATAGGTTAATAAAATGCCAATTGAAAATATAGGAAAAACCAATTTCTACCTAGTATTAAGGGGAAAAAAAAACCCAATCCTCAAAAAAAGGCAAGGAAAATACACCAAACATTGCTTCGTCCACATTATTCAGACTGAACAATTTCTGTAAGGCCAACATTAGTGTGAGGCCAAAATGTAAACTTCGTTTATTCAAGCGATTGTCATTAGTGATGTTGCAGCCTCATCTAGACTTCTTTCTTACAGACCAACTAATTACCTACCTTACTGTTGTTTCTCCTGCGTCTTTCAGAAAATCCCACTTGGTTTTGTGGAAGATTTTTATTGGACCAGTGACAAGTGCTCTGAGTCAGGGGTCCTGTAGGTACAGCCCCACTGACAGTGGAAGGGGGTTGAGAACTGGTTGGGCCTGGAAATTTATGGTAATGGAGGCCCCAGGCTTTTCCTACCTCCTCTCTGATTCGTGTTCCTTTCGCTTTGAGATTTGAGCTCCCTCTGAAGCTTTGATCACATTTTTGTGTGAACGGGACTCAGGGAGCTGGTTTTCAGATGGGGTTTGAGTGAAAGAGCGATCCCAAGTCACCAAGCATCTAAGGGTTGGGGTTTTGGGAAGAGAGGCAGCAATAAAGTGAAAAAAAGGGCCTTGCAGACGCCTTGCAGACATTAAAGGTAGATTTTGCTAATTTCTTAATTTTGCCCCTGAGAAGTTGATTGTTCCTACACCGCACCTCTAAACCCATGAGGTACAGAAATCTCTGACCTATAGTGCCACCCAGCATCCATTTCCCTTGGTCTGCAGTTTAGGATTGAGACAGAAAGCCCTGGTGGGCTTCCCCCAAGGTCTGAGTTGGAGTGCACGTGCTGGACTGCCCCAAGGGTCTGTGAGCCCCTTCTCTGGTCTATGTCCTCTAATGCATGGCCAGGCCACCATCACCTCAGTGTCCCCAAGAGCAAAGCTGAGTACCTCCTGCTAACCTCCCCTTTCCTCCTGATACCCACAGAGTTACAGAGCACTGTCGAGTCTCAGACTCTCTCTTTAGCTAGAGTGGTGGTGGTGGTGGAGGAGAATAGTCAGACGTCCAAAGTCATGCCACATCAGGAATCAAGGATAAGGGCCAAGTGAGCAGCTGAAGAGGCTGCAGGGCCTCAGTAGATGTTGGGACAAATGGCTTTGGTTGGAGAGGATGAGGAGTCCTGGAACAGTTGCTATTTACACTAGGTCTTGAGGGCTGGGCAGAGATGTAAGTGTTTTAAATGGCAGAGAAGTGGGGAAGAGCATTCAGCTGCAGCCCCCAGCATGGACGAGGAAAAATGAGTGTAGCATGCACGTCCACTATCCAATCAACATGAAAACAAACAGTATTCAACATGGTTGTCTGTATTTCCACACTATTTTCATTATCTAAGTTCCTGGATAAGGAGTCATTTGTTTTCCATACTACTGACTCTTGCTCAGGATTGTAAGTTTGCCCCCATTTTCCACTATTTAAATTGGTCGATATTGGCAAAGTGCCTAGAACAGTGCCTGAAACAGAATAAATACCAAACATGTCTGTAAAATAAAATAAATAAAACCATCTTGACTTTTGAGAGGACCAATTTAAACCACTAGGTTCACTTTCTTTTTTTTTTATTGTGGTGAAAATACACACACCAGAAACCAAGTTCACTCTTTATAGTGCAGTTTTATTTCAACAACCAAGAGCCTTCAAAGGGAAGACAGATGCAGTCTGAGTTCCATAGCTTCCTCAGGCCCCAGAGGGCCGAGGGTCATGGCAAAGCTTCAGGAGAGAGCAAAAAAGCATGAAGGGGCTTAAATTCAGGGCAGGACAACTCCCAGGGGCTACCTAAGACTAAGAGAGTTGGGGAGGGGAGGTGGCTCTGTGCCTTACTTCTCATGGTCCCTGAGCATGATGACCCCACTGCTTCCAGATCACTTTGACCTGCTGTCCAGGTCCCTGATGTACTCCTGCACCCAGTCCTCGCTGGGGTTGGCACAGAAAAGCCACCCTTTTTTGGTTTGGAAGCTGTGGAGCAAGTGGAAGGATGAGAAATTGAGAGTTGAGCAACTAGGAAAGGAGTCCCCCTTCCACCACCCCCTTCTCTTCCCAACATGGAACTCTCCATCCCTCTCTCTGCTGCAGGCAGTTCCTTGCAGAGAGAGACCCCCCCGCCTTCTCCCCACCTCACTGCCAGTGTGTTGCTCCCCAGGGAGGCAATGAAGGCCAATCAGGCAGCTCCCACTCTCCTTCTTTTCCCTTCCCTCTCCTGACCCCTGTCTACCCACTGGGACCAGCTCCCCCCTCTTCCTGCATTGGTCCTACCTTGACAATGCAGAGTTCTTTCTACCCACCTGACTCCCTGTCCCAGGCCCTACTGGTTCTCACCATTTGCACCCCCCACCCCCACTGTCAGCGGGGGTTGTACTTACATGACTGCTGGCAGGTGGCATGCGTCACTTGTCCTATAATAAGCTTGCACATGTTTGAATGGGATTTTCAGAGAGATGTGGGCGAAACAGCAGATAACCGGGTCATTAGCTGGTTCTGCAAGAAAGCGGGTTGTGTGAGGAGGCTGAGCCCTTCTACATAGGGAGAGTTAGACCTACATCTCTGTTCCCCAGAGCATCAGGGAGGGTGGGGAGGAGCAGGAGGAGACAAGAAGGAGCAGCTGGGAGAGTGTATGGGTCGCTCTGGTTACTCTTCCTCCTCCTTTCCCTCTTACATTACCCTCCTCCAGCGGCTCCGCTCCTCCCCCACT